TTGTGTGCTTAAACTTGAGCCGAGATTCATTTATTTTTTAATTCATTAAATGTTTTTAACTTCTGTGTGTGAGACACACACATTCAGACAAAGGCACAAGACAGAAATGTGTTCGACTGCAGTGGTTTGTCACAAAGTGGACTTGCGTGTGTAAGCCCCACGTGTCCCACAGGTCAAGAGGTATAGTACTGCCAGCACCCCAAAAACTCCCCCATACTCCCCCATCTCCCCGTACAGATCTCAGACCCTGACTTTTAATCCCAGGGCTTAAGTTTGCCTGGTTTTGAACCAAATCTCTATGGAATCACAGGGTAGGTACTTTGTGTCCGGCTCCTTTTGCTTGAGATTATGTGTGAGAGATTCCTCCCTGTGGCTTCATGTAGTGGCACCTACTGATTTTTATCGCCGTCTATATTCCACTGTATGACTATGTCCCCATTCTACTGTAATGGGCATTTGTGCGACTTCCATTCGGGGTTCATACAAATAATGCTGCTACGAATGTTCTCACGACCGCTGGTTGATGCATCCACACGCGCGTTTGTGTTGGGTATGTACCCAGGAGGATAGCTGCATGGGCTATGCCTACGTTCAATCTGAATAGTGTCCAGTGTGCAGGCAGCTCTCCAAAGTGACGGTGACACTTCAGATCCCCCCCAGCACTGAATAAGCGTTCCGCTTCTTCCACACCCTTATCAACGTTTGACGTAGTCGGGATTGTTTGGTTTTGGTTTCGGTTATTCTAGTGGGTGTATAGTAATATCTCGTGTTTTTTCTTTTTTAATTTTTAACTTCATCCATTTATTTTTTTTTTTCAACGTTTTTATTTTATTTTTGGGACAGAGAGAGACAGAGCATGAACGGGGGAGGGGCAGAGAGAGAGGGAGACCCAGAATCGGAAACAGGCTCCAGGCTCCGAGCCATCAGCCCAGAGCCTGACGCGGGGCTCGAACTCACGGACCGCGAGATCGTGACCTGGCTGAAGCCGGACGCTTAACCGACTGCGCCACCCAGGTGCCCCTCATCCATTTATTTTGAAAGAGAGAGAGAGAGAGAGAGAGAGAGAATCCTAAGCAGGGTCCACACTGTCAGCACAGAGCCTGACTCTGGGTTTGATCCCACAAACCATGAGATCATGACTTGAGCCAAGATTAAGAGTTGGACGCTCAAGACTGAGCCACCCAGGCGCCCTCGTTGTGGGGTTTTAAATGACTAATGAGGGTAGGTATCAATTCACGTGCTTATTGACTTATCCTCTCAAGTGCCAGTTTAAATCTCTTGTCCATTCTCTTGGGTGGTCTTTTTTCTTATTAATTTGTAGGAGTTATTTTTATATCTGAATATGAGCCGATCGTCTGTCGTGCATGTTGTATATATCTTCTACTTGTCTTGCCCACTCCCTCCCTTTGTGATGTCTTTTCTTGAATAGACGCTCTTAATGTAAATGTACCAATTTCATCAATCCTTTCCGTTCTGGTTTGTGCTTGTGTCCTGTTTTTCAAAACCTTACCCTCCCTCAAGTTCATAAAGATTCTTAGCTTTGTCTTTTAGAAGTCTTACTGTTTTATCTTTATACTTAGATGTCAGTCTATCTGGAATTTATTTTTAATTATGATTTGTGATGGAAGCCAGGTTTCTACTTTTCCGTATAGATATCAGATTGACCCAGGACCATTTATTACAATGACAGTCCTTTCCCTGCAGCCCTCTGATGCCATCTTAGTTATGAATTAAGACTCCATATACATGTGGTTCTGTTTCAGGACTCTCTATTCTGCCTCTATGGCCTACTTATCAATCTTTGCACCAATGTTACCTTGTCTTAATTACTATAGCTTTATCATAAGTCTTGATAGCTGATAAAGCAAATCTTCCTTACTGTTCCTCTTCAAAAATATTAAAGTGTTTTAGCTATACTTGTCCTTTTTATTTCTCGCACATTATAGAATCAGCTTGTCTATTTCTGCACACACACACACACACACACACACACAGTTATGATTTTGATTGGGAGTGCGCCGAATCTATAAACCAATTTAGGGAAGAACGAATTCTTTAAATACTGCATCTTCCAATCCATGAACATGGTATGACCCTCGATGTGTTTATGTTTAAATTATTTTTAATTAGATGGATAATATATGGATACATTTTTATTAGAAATATAAAATTAGGGCGCCTAGGGGGCTCAGCTGGTTAAGCATCTAACTTCAGCTCAGATCATGATCTCACGGTTCGTGAGTTCAAGCCCCACATCGGACTCTCTGCTGATGGTACAGAGCCCACTTCAGAAACTCTATTCCCCTCTCTCTGTGCCCCTCTTCCGTGCTCTCTTTCTCCCTCAAAACTAAACATTTTTTAAAAAGAAACAAAATTAGAGGGGCGCTTGGGTGGCTCAGTTGGTTTAACGTCCGACTCTTGATTTCAGCTCAGGTCATGATTCCAGGGTCATGAGACAGAGCCCTGCATCTGGCTCTGCACTGAGGGTGGGGCCCGCTTAAGATTCTCTCTCTCTCTCTCTCTCTTTCTCTCTCTCTCTCCCTCTGACCCTCTCCCCCACTCACACACACTCTCTCTCAAATGAAACAGAAAAAGAAATATAAAATTAGAGATGAAACAAGTATTTCTTTCCTTTCCCAAACGCAGCAGTTTCTTATATAAGCACTGTGCTTCTGTACCTCTATGCACGCGCGCATACGTACCAATTTTGGATGGGATCGTATTAATTTGCCACATGCTTTTTTAACTTAACAATATTATGTAGACATCTCTCTGTGTCAAAACAATTGAACCTAGGTCATTCTTTATAAGTACCGCCTGTAGCCAGAGACTATGTCCTAGTACAAGACTACAGACCGAACTCAGTGAGCATCCTAGAACGTGTTTTCTTGGATGTGTTTGTGTTCCTCTAGGAGATTTAACCCCATAAGCAAAGACACCCATTTGGATACTGCTGTAATTATTCAGAGCAGACGTAACGAGGTCCTGAACCAGGCAGGGGAAGGAGAAGAGAGATGAATTTCCTTTTCTAAAATAACATGTGCTTCCTCTTGAGAGTCTCCTGGGCCTCCCAAACCCCTGTCAGTCATGGGTCTGCCATAAATGGAAGATGTAGGGCACAGCAGAAGGGCGGGCTAGGGAGCCCAGGGGGAGAGCAGCAAAGAGTTAGAGGAAGGGGTCTGACCTGTCCATCAAAGCAACCACTGAACAGAAATGGGGTGAGATGAGACACCTGTCCTGGGCGGGGCCATATGCCGCCTGCTGCACACGCTGCCCTGAGCTTTGCAGCAACCCCGTGCTTAGACCGTGCGAGGAATCTGCGGCTGAGAGAGGTGCAGGGGTCTGTCTGGGCTCGCCTAGTGAGTCAGGGGCCACGCTGCGCTTCTGACCGAGGCCTGGCCGCAAAGCCCTGCGTGTGTGTGGTCTCCAGGCCGAGTCTCTTAGTTCACAACGTTGCCCAAGGACACCAGATGGGCAGACCTAGAGGAGCCAAGGCCTGAAACTCAACTGGGGCGGGTGCTGGGGAGACGGACTCAGGGCTGGCACCAGTCAGAGGGAACCCGGCCAGAAGGCTGGACGGTGGCAGGTGACAAATGGTGTCTGGTGAGTCCCTGCTGTCTGGGAACCCTTCTCCAAGGAGCCAGTGGCCCACATGCAGCAGGTTGGAGGCAGCGGCTTGGAGCGAGGCCACATCCCCCGTCGGCACGGGGCCCAGGTGCGAGTTCAGGGCAGGGCTCTGCTTCCTGGAAACTTGGGAGCCTGGATGGGCCTAGGAGAGCCAACTCACATCGAGGCCTCCACAGCCTCGGGAAGGCCACAGGCCACCAGGGCTTAGAAACCCCCACCGGCCTCACCTCCCTCCGCCCACCTCCTCCCCCTCCATGCGCTTTCCTGGCCTCACCTTTCGGGTCCCCCTTTTATATTTATATTTAAGAAATCCCCTTTTACAAACTTTTTATAAACAAGAGGGAATTTTTTAGTATAAAAGAAACCCCATGAATAAAGCCCATTAACCTCCTATGCATACATAAGGGCAGACATTAATTCTTTTCCCAAATTGAGATTATACTCATCATCCTTATTAAGAAGATGCTTTGATTGCTTCTCAATGTCCTGTGTAGTGTCCATGCCTCGGGGCATCTGGCAGGATTGCAACAGCTCTTGGGAACACGGACTCAAGTGCCAGCTGGCCTGGGTTTCGGAGCCTTTCTCTGCCACTCATTACTTTTGTGACAGAGCGAGTTCTGCACCTCTCTGGGCCTTGGTCTCCTCGTCAGTAAAGTGAGGATGCTAACAGGCTCGACGTGAGGCTCCGTGTGAGAACTAAATGGGGGGGAGGGGGCCTAACCTGGAACACTGTCGATTCTCGGCGAGCACCTGATATTAGGATTATCATTACTCCTCACCTAAAAACGGAGCCCAGCAAACTGCCCCCACCTCATTACCTAAGACTTTGTAGCTGGATCCCAACCCTGACCCTGAGTCTTTATCCGGGTCTCCTGGGCCTACCGTAGGTCTCTTCCTGCCCCCGCCCCCGGGCTGGTGGGGGTGCTGGGGCCTGGGCTCAGCTGCCGAGTAGCATTCAATGGGATTTCTGAAGGTTCTTCCCTGGGTCCTTCCTCAGTGACATGAGTAAGGACAGGGGTTAGAAAAGGGGAAAAGGGGAAGGGAGAAGGCAGAGAAGTGGCTTGGATTTAGCCAGGCCCTAGAAACCCAGCCCCGGGTGCTTTCGAGTCTCTGCCTCACTGGGCTTCCTCACCTGGTGTGCGAGCCCGGGGTCCCTCCTCGGTGGCGTCACTGGGAGAGACGGTTGGCGTGACTGCTCTCCATGGCCAGGAAGGGCGGAGACCAAATCATAACCACCCCTAGAAGGAGTTGCTCAGGCTCAAGGGCACCACTTGGGGTTCGCTCTGTTTGTTGGCCTTGACGGGGACCCGCTGACTTCCAAGTGTGGGTGCACGTGTGAGCTGGGACCCAGTTCTGAGCCCTGGAATCCACAGGAGGTGAATAACTACCGGCGGGCCATGCAGAAGATGGCAGAGGACATCCTGTCGCTGCGGAAGCAGATCAGCATCCTGGAGGCAGAGAACCACACGCTGAGGAGCCAGCTAACCCAGGGGGAGGTGGAAGAGGAGCAGAACGACACCAACAAGAGCCAGAATCTGGGTGAGGGTGTCCGGGCCACCGAGAGCATCCAGCTGCCCGCCTGAGCCCAGGCTCTAAATTGTGGGTCTGGGTGGCGGGGAGCCTTTCCCAGGTGCACCTGCTCCTGGACACTGGCCGGGTCCTCTCTCCGGGATGGGAGACTCCAGCCCTGTCTCGAGCCCCAGGACTGGGAGACCCCCGCCCCACCCCGCCCCGTCCCCAGCTGTGCTGAGCCAGGAGATGCGCCCTCCCTGAGCCAGCTCCCCCAACACCCCCCCACACAGTGTCCATGAAGCAGAAACTGCTGCTGAGTGAGCTGGACATGAAGAAGCTGTGGGACAAAGTGCAGCATTTGCAGAATGAGCTGATTCGAGTGAGCTGAGGCTGGGGGACAGAGGGGAAGGGAGCTGGGGGGTGTCCAGAGAAGTACCCGCGAGCAGAAGGGAGAGGGGTGTGGAAGGAAGGGGGTGGTGCAGTTGGAGACTCAGCAGAGGGGCCAGCAGTAACCCCAGGCACTCCCTGCCCTCCCCCACCACCAGAAGAATGATCGAGAGAAGGAGCTACTACTCCTGCACCAGGCTCAGCAGCCACAGGCCGCACTGCTGAAGCGGTACCAGGACAAGCTGCGGAAGACGAAACTGCTGGAGGAGACTGTGCGGCACCAGGAGAAGGCAGGTGTCAGAGGGGCCGGCCCATCGGGCGCCAGCCACAGACCAGAAGGTGCAGAGCCCCCAGGCGAGCCCAGCCTTTGTGCCCTGCCCTCCAGGTGATCGAGAAGATGGAACGGGTGCTGGAGGACAAGCTGCGGGACAGGAAGGAGCCCCTGCTCACCAGGCTGCAGGGAAAGCCCAGCGTGGGTGAGTCTTTTGTCCCGTCCCCCCGGAAGCCCTGCCTTCCTGGAGCATCCGCTTCCGGAGCAGAACTGGGACAAAGGATGCTACCCCCCTACTGACGCAGGCAGTGAGAGGAGGGCTCCCAAAGGTCCACTGGGCTCCCTTCTCCTGCCAGGGAGCCCCTCAGGACACATCAGGGCAGTGGGTGAGCCAGGTTAGAGACGGACGTGCTCGGACCCACAGACGGGAGGCACTGCAGACTGGGATGAGCAGACAGGGGCTGCCCAAGAAGAGGGGCTTCCAGAACCCTCCAGATTACTTCCTCCTCTCCCCATGTCTTCAAAGAGTCTGCTCCTACAAAACAAACAATACTTGTTTGTTCTCTCCATTGATGTTAACCAAAGCCACCCAGGACTGCCAATCTGACAGGGCTCTGGTGGGCGGGGGACAGCCAGCTCACCCCATATCAGCCCGGCCCAGGCAGAGGAGTTCCCTGAGCCATCTGTACAGCCTCACCGGGGACCCCTGCGAGCCCAGCCCTGTGCTCAGTCTTCACTGCATGGGGATGTCGGGCAGTGCATTCCAGAAGGCCTTTGGAAAAGAATGAAAGATGAGACTGCCTTTCAGGAACCCTGAGGTCATCCCAGAGTGGGAGAAGAGGGAAGGCAACCCAGGGAGGGCGGAGGGCCAGGGAGTGACAATGCCAAGAGCAGAGAAGGGAGGAAAGAGAGAGGTGAAAAGCTAAAATAGACCCAGGACAAATGGCGGGGGAGTGGTTATGGAGAACACTGTGGTCAGGTTATAAAGAGCCCACAAGGAGGGCCTGAGGCGTGTGGATCTGATTCTACCGGGCAGGGAGCCGGTGAGCGCTTGGGAACAGAGGAAGGACAGAATGGAGCAAAATGCCGGGGCGGATCAGGCAGGGGACACGAGGACAGGAGAGCCCAGCTCACGAACATCTGTGGCCACGTCTGCAGCCTTCCCTGTGCTCTCAGCCTCTGGCCTTCCCCCGGGGCCCGCAAGAGAGAACCTGCCCGTCGACCTGTACTCCGCGCTGCTGGCAGAAAACTCCAGGCTGCGGGCAGAGCTGGATAAGAACCGCCACCAGTCGGCCCCCATCATCCTGCAGCAGCAGGCCCTGCCGGTAAGAGCTGCCGGCACAGGCTTAGCCTGGGCCTGCCCCAACAGGTGCTCGGCGATCACTCACAGCACAATCCAAGTTGAAGACCGAGACCAGGAACTGGGCTTCCCAAGGTCTCCAACGTTCCTGGCGTCTCCTGGAGCGCCAGCTCTCAGGCCTGCCCCTTTGCTCCCAGGGACACACATGGGTCTGAAGGAGCCACTTTCGCCCTCATTTAGCAGCCCCAAATGGCCCTTGACCTTTGATTCCTGACCCCTTTTGCTGGCCTGCCCTCGGACTCCACACAAGCCTCTCTGAGCTCCGTCCCGGAGCATTTCCTGGGATTGGAACAGCCTTGGAGAGCCCTTTTCCCCCATCCCAGGTGGACCCCGGGGAGTTGCGAGCAGGAGGAGACCTGGCAGAGAGACTGCAGGAGACAGATGGCCCAGGCCACTCCAAGGGCACAGAGACCCTGCCCGCACAGGTGGGTGCCCCCGGCCCCAGAAATGCCCCAGCCCCATTCCGTCTCCAAGGCTGCTGCAGGTGCCCCTGCCTCATGCAAACCCAAAGACGAGACATTTGGAACTCCAGCAAGGGGTGGCCAGGGGACACAGGAGAGTTTTTCTCTTCATCCCAGGACTTGCGGGAGGTGAGTTCTGTTTGAAAGCGCGTCAGATGCACGGACATCCAGGTGAAGTGCGGGGGGATAAGGGAACCCTTGCTTCACAGATGCTTCACTTTACAAGATTCCCCGTTTGAGAGTCCTTTCTGGGCACCGACAGGCGCCACCTAGTGCATTTAACGTTTAGAGATGGATGTCCGGAAACTCCATGTAACCAAAATCTTTGGGGAGAACAGCTGTGAAAAAAAGCACACACTGTATCAGGTCACCTTTGAGACGAGGGTTTGGCCCTGGGTCTCGGGCTCTGAATCAGGCAGTTGAGTCTGGAACTCAGACCTGGCTGGTTTCTCCCTCAGTATCTCATGGCCTCCTGAGCCCACACGGCCGCCATCCCCAGCTGGAGCCATGTGTGCGTTTCTGCTTTGCCCACAGGATCTCCTTGGCAATACTTCAGACAAGTTCAACCTTCTGGCCAAGCTGGAACGAGCTCAGAGCCGGATCCTATCCCTGGAAAGCCAGGTGGGTGAGGTGCAGGCGTCAGTCAGGCTGGGCGGGTTCACCTCTCAGCCTATGACCAGGGTCAAGGTCAAAGAGTGACCAAGGTTGTGGCTCAGTCTATGACCAGATTCAAGGATCAGTGTGGACTGAGGGTCAGGGCTCAGTATGTGGTCGGAACTCAGAGAAGGTCCTTCTGTGTCTTAGACCCCTCCCCCGCCACCCTGCCACGCCTGCTGTTTCCGGAAGGTAGCAGGTCCACATTGCCCAGGGTTTTGCTCACTGCCCGGGGAGGAGGCTCAGGCTCTGGATGTCCTGGATCGCAGGGATGGGCCCTGCTGCCCAGCAGTTCCCCATCTGTCCCTCTCCGTGTCCACAGTTAGAGGACTCGGCTCGACGCTGGGGACGAGAGAAGCAGGACTTGGCCACAAGGCTACAGGAGCAAGAGTACGGCTTGGCACAACCCTCAAACTCCATCATCACTGACCTGCCTGTGAGTGAGCCCTCTGGACGAGCTCCCTGGGGGTCAGGCAGTGGGGCTGGCAGCCACTCCCCGCCCCAATCCCGAGTCACCGGGCCTTGAGAAGAACTACGCAGGGGGACCAGCTACCCACTGGAAGTCTGTTTCTGCTCTGTTACCACCAGAAGCCCTCGCCTGGTCTCGATGTCCCACCTGCCTAAGGCATCACTGAGATGCCCCACGGGTGGTGGTGAGAATCAAGGGGTGATGGCCGTGGGTGGGGGTTGTCCAGGCATTTCTGGACTGCTCTGGCACTGGCTGTCCTTTAGCATGGGCGGAGTAGCTGCGGCCCCCACCCAGCCCCTTAGCACCTGAGGTCCTCCCAGGAGCTCACCTTCTCGGGCCACTGCAGTGCCGCACCCCTGCCAGGGAGGGGAGCAACGTTGCCAGAGAGAAACACTGGCGGCTTCCTGAGCACACATGGGCCTGTTCACAACTGCCCTTCAAGCTCAGCCCCAGGTTCCCAGGTCCCCCAGAGCAACACCCCTGAAGGCTCCTGCCCTTGAGCCATCAGTGTTCTGCACATCTCCAGGCTCCCGGAAAGGCCGGAAGAGGATGGGAGGTTGCGGCGTGGGGGCGGGACACTGACAGAGAACACAGGGCTACCTTGGCAAAGTCACCTGCTGAGACCTGGGGGCTCTTGGAGAAATCGGGTTTGACTTGCTGTGGTTAAACAGCTGTGGGAACCTTTGCGAAGTCGTGGCGCACTATGTTTTGGATCCTCTGAGGCATGGCTTGCCAAGATGCACTTTAATGGGTCATCCCCCGCCCCCAGCGGCAGGGGCGTGCTCACCTCACTTTGCTCTGCACACCACAGCACTACTCAGCCCTCTCCAAGGACAGCAGGCGACCCTCAAAGCTGGACCCCTTGGCGCCCAGCTCAGAGACCAAGCTCAACAAGCCCTCGAACTCCCAGAAGACCTGAGTCTTAGCAGACCTGAGTGCCAGAGCAGGCCTCCCTCTCTATGTGCTGGGGAGTCTCATTCCACCCCCCAAATGACTCCATTAAATGCTGTAAGTCCGTGAGCATTCGTCTCTTTTCTGGGGTAGGGCAGCCTAGGGGGCCCAGCTTCCTCCTTCCAGACCCCACTCTGGGCCCGGTCCCTCTGCTGCAGCCTTATAGCCTCCTGCCTGTCCCAGAAGCTACCATTTTGGGAGAGCCAAAGGCCATAGTGGACCCAGGAGGGTGGGGGAGAAGAGGCTTTCCAAAGCAGGAGCCAGGGAGACAAGCCCCTTCCAGAACTCCAGAAGAAATGAGGCCAGCTCTGTTGGAAGATGTGAGGGAGGCTGGGACTTTCCACTTGCCCCTAAACATCTCATATCTGAAATCCCTTCTTTCAAGTTCGATTGATCAGTTTCTTGGGAAGGGAAAGACTTAAAGCCTGACCATGGCAATCAGTTACATGTTAGTGTGAAATAGTCCATTAACCAGGGCCAGGCTGAGTGGGCAATGTTGTGTCCATATATAGCCAGGGACAGGAAAGCTGATGGGGCTAGGGGAAGGAACCCTCTGCTGAGAGTCGGAAGGCCCGGATTCTAGTTATAAACATGCTGTGCGACCTTGAGTGACTCAAGCAACCTCTCTGGGCTTCCATTTCCCCATCTGTCCCATGCAGAGCTTGACTTCTTTGATGGTAGTGCCCTTTCCAGCCCTACCGTTTCTGAGTCAAAGACAACTGGGGCCCAGAGAAGTGAAAGGAAGCAAGAAAGAGAGAGAAAGCCAACAAGAAAGATGATTCTATGGTAGGGAAAAGTAGAAAGGCTCCAAAAGTGGACTCAGAACCTTCAGATGCTGGTAGAAGAGACCAGGGCAGCAGGGCCGCTGTCCTGGGCGGGACTAGCTCCCCTGTCTGCCTGCAGAACTTAGACTTGGCTAGCAGAGGGCCAGGAGGAACCAGGCACCTGGTTGGGAGTTATAGAACTCAGAGAGGGTAAGGGGGCCAAAACTGGGACCAGTGTCAGGCAGTCCAAATAATGCACCAAAGGCCCAGCCACAGTCTTCCTGCCTACTGCCCAGAGAAAGACCGGGTGGGGTAAAGCAAACATACTGGCCTCTCATTCCCTAGATTGGCCACCTCACACCAGACCCTCACTCAGGCTTCAGCCCCGGACATGCTCCGGAACTCTAGCTGACCTTGGCAGGAAGTCCTCATGACCCCATAGGGAACTCCCACCCTGAGTTCAGCCAGTCAGAGGTCTACAGGAACCTCATTCCTGATGGGTGGGCCTGCCCGGAAGTCTGTTCTCAGACCACCCTGTTCCCTCAACAGAAGCCGGGTCCTTTGTCCCTCTGCCCGCCGCTCCAGGAGCTCCCCGCACAGTGGCAATAGCCCGCCACCTGCTCTGCCTTGCCCCCAGCCCCAGGCAGCAAGGGGGTTAATCCTACTGGCTCCTGAGCAGGTGGGTCCCAACAGAATTGGCTTCAAGGGCAGCTGCCCTGGGGGCCCTATTCGTGCCCAGATCCCGTTGCTGACCCAGGTCAGGGAGCATCATCACAGGAGCGATAGATCACTCGGGGGTCGGGCGGAAATGAGAACACTTCACACGGTTTGGTCATTTATTGCCTTCATAGGTCAGGAAAAGAAGGAGAAGAGGTGGGAGAAAGAGGGGTGCCCTGGCCAACTTTCTCCTCCCAGAGCTGGCCCAAAAGGAGCAGGGGAGGGGGGCTGAGGACTGAAGAGCAGAACCGCCATGGGCCCCACCCTGACCTTCCTCCAGCACCCCTGCTGGCCTGAGAGGTGGGAGAGGCAGCGTCCACCCTCTCTAATCACACCTGGGGTGGGTCCTGGCTGTAGGGCCTGAAGGTGAGGAGGATGGGCTTGTCGGGCGTCAGGATGAGGTTGAATGCGGTGCCCACATCACTGAGATGTTGCATTTCAACTCTGAAGTTCTCCAGAATCTGAGAAAGAGGGGTGGTGGGCTTAGGGGAGAGGTGGGGAGGGGCTGTCTCCCTCAGGGCCAGGCTCATTCACCTGTAGGTGTCACCTGTCGTGAGTGACTGGAGGAACTCACCGCCAGCTCCTGTTTGGCCCTGCACAGCGCCTGAAAATGCATGACTAGTGCCTCGTCCCCTCGATCAGCCTTATAGCTTCAACGAAACCTTGTCCCCCCCCCCCCCCCCCCCCCCACCCCCTTACCCGTCCCATCCCGCTTGGGGGGGAACAGATGGCCAGGGGACACCGATGGGCCATAAGAAGATTAGCCCGAAACTGTCAGGGAGGAGGAAGGCAAATAATGGGAGACAGATGTCCCCAGCCCTGTACTCCCTGGGCTCCGGGCAGAGATGAGAGTAGGAGGGTCACTGCCTTCATTAGGGCCATGGCCAGCCCAGGTGGCCGGATGCCCCCGGCCGGACTCACATGGATGAGGAAGAGGGTCATCTCGAGCTCAGCGATCCGCCGGCCCACACACTGCCGCACACCCCAGCCAAAGCCCAGGTTCCGGAAGTGGATGAGTTCCTTGTCTTTACTCAGCCATCGGGTTGGGTCAAACTTGCCCGGATTGAGGAAGAAGGTGGGGTCTTGGCCCAAGGCATAGGTGGACACCTGCACCAACGTCTGGGGACAAGGTGGGCAGAGGCCTGAGAGGCTTCATCTACTCCCAGCCGGGAGCATTAACTCAGCTTCCCCACCCCCGCTCCCCAGCCAGGCTGCCCACGGGACCCCGCCCACCGTGTGACGTTGAAAAAGTTCCCACCCCTCCCTGAGCCTCACCCATCAGATGGGCAGGACTGAAGACTCAAGGCCAGGGATGGCTCAAGGGATTGTCCAGCCCTTTCCTCAACCCCAGAGGGCTCCCGAGACCCAGTGGGGCCTCCCTCTTCACCCTGGGCTCCAGCAACATTCCAGGGACCATCACCCCCTATGCCCAGTACTCCTGCCCTTCATTCCTACTTGGACTGCTGCACCAGCCAGCTCCAGGAAGAAAGAGGGGACAGAAGCCCTCGTCGCCACCCATCTGTGTGCAACTGCAGTCTGTCCCCAGCCTCCTCTGTCTGACTGGCAGAGCCGGCAGCCCCCCCTGCTGCACCCACCTTGGCAGGAATCATGTAATTTCGAAGAACCAAGTCATTTTCAAGGTATCTCTGCAGGGTCACGGAGATGGGGTGGAGTCTGCCGGAGGAAGGCATTCAGAAGCTGATGCCCCAGGGCACCCGGGTGGCGCAGTCAGTTAAGCGTCCAACTCTTGATTTCAGCTCAGGTCACGATCTCACGGTTCATGACTTCGAACCCCACGTCGGGCTCCATGCTGTCAGCTGTCAGCGCGGAGCCTGCTTGGGATCTCCCTCTCGCTCTCTGCCCCTCCCCCGCTTGTGCTCATTCTCTCTCTCTCTCTCTCTCTCTCTCAAAATAAATAAACTTTAAAACAGAAAAGGAAGCCGATGCCCTGAGGCCTGGACACAGCCTGTGCACCCAGCAAGGCATCTCAGCCCCAGTGCCCCGGGGGGATCTGGGGACGGGACGTACTCTTCTCTCCTCCCTCGCCATTCCCAGCTGTCTCCCCGGACTTCTCACTTCCTACCAACGCCCTCCCTTCGGCCCTGCCCAGGGATGTGGGGGATGAGGTGGGTGGGCCTGGGAGGGTTGGGCTTGCCTCAGTGTCTCCTTGATGCTGGCTTTGAGGAGCGGGACGTGCTGCAACATCATGCTGATGTCTCCCTGGGCCTGGCGCCGGGCAGCCCGGACCTCCTCCCGCAGCATCTCCTGCACCTTCAGGCTGCGTGCCATCTCGTACAAGTGCCACTGCAGTGTCATGGACGTCTGGCAGGGAGTGTGCGGTGTGGAAGACAAGGAGGACCCATCACTCCTGAGGCATCTAAACCATGCTAAATTCTCACTTCCAAAGATCTTTGCCCACTTCATCCCTGCATCCAGAGGCCACCGTCCACGAAAGCAAAACACAGTTTGACAGGCAAACGTCCAAAGAGCCTGCCTCACCCCCCAGGCAGGAATGTTTGGGGCAGCATTTGTCCCTGCCCTCGTCCCCGATGTCACCGGCGCCCACCTGTTTCCCCAGCCAGCAGAGTCACCCATACAGCTGGTGCCTTCTTCCAGAGGACTCCAGAGGCCTTTGGAAGCCAAATCCTACTACTGTAAGGGCTGTACTCCCCAATGACTGCCATCCCACCCCTCTCCCGTTAGACCTTCCCCAAACATTAGTCCTTGCCTGTGGGAACAGAAAAGAAAGTGAGGCCCAAAGATACTGAAACCAGAGCCACCAGACCCGTTTTCCATCCGTGTTTCAATGAGCAATGCGGTCTATTCTGGGATGGACCAGCCCATCTCAGTATTAGCCGGAGGCAGTGACCAGTAGCCCTTCACTGAAGCGTGAGTGACACTTGTCAAGCCCCACAGTCCAAGATTCTTCACGGGGAGGGGGGACCCCAGGTTGAAGCAGCCCTCACTCCTGGGGCCAGGACATGCTGCTATCTGACCAAGGGTCATATTTTGGTCTCCTCCTTCCTCCCAGCAGGGGCACTCTGGAAAAAATGTCATGAGGCCACTTCCCAGCTCCAAATCCTTACCTGGCCCCAGAAGCTTTTGCCTGACCCGTGAGGCTCCCCCCAACACTTGCCTACTGCTCCCAGACCCCCTGCCCCCTAATGTTCTAGCTACACACATCTCCCGAAGCCCAGAAATCTTCCTCATGCTGTTTGCTCATTCTAGAATTACCGCCCCCACCCCCGCCGCCCCCCACCAAACCTAGGAGGCAACGATGTACTCC